CGGGGCACGGGGGCGGAGGAGCAGCGCAGTATCTGCTCGCGGCCCCGGGGCTCAGTGCGTGCGGGAGCGCCTGGTTCACCGCGTCCTAAATGTAACGTGTGCCGGAACCCGAGGTACCGGCGCGCGCAGCAAAGCAGCTGGGACCCGACGCGGGCGGGTGGCAAAGCGGGGTCGCACTCCCCTGGGAGCAGCGGTCCTCAGCCAGGCCGGCCCTGTGAGTGGTATCGGACACATACCCACCCGTGACTGCGGTGCTGTGCCCGGTCGTGGGCGCCGCGCGGCAAAGAGGATGTGGAGGATCTTGAAAGGGCCCAGAGAAGGGCCACAAGAGCAATTCGGGGCCTGGAGAACAAACGAGATGAGGAAAGACTAAGGGATCTCAGGAGGGAAGACTTGAGGGGGGACTTGGTGGCCATCTATGAGGGGTGGGGAGAAAAGCTGTTCACTGGGGCATCCCAGGGGAGGACAAGGAGCAGCGCCTTTTGCACTGGATCGGGGGCCTGAGCATGCTCCCCCCCCTCCCCCCCCCAAGCCCAGCAGGTCAGTCCATGGGGAAGGGAAGGAGCAGGGACCGGATTGAGGCCCCCGCGGTGAGGGACAGAGTGCGGCAGGGGTAGGCTGAGCGGAGCGGGTCCCGGCTGGGCCGGTGGTGGAAGGGCCAGAGCCCAGGTGGCTTGTCCTGGGAGCGTAGGGGGCCTCCCACCACTGTGTGCACGCCAGCTGAGGCCCTGGAGGGCACATGCTTCCCGCATCTGCGTGCAGCGGAGGCAGCTGTCGTTGTGGGCTGGGCTTTGAGGGAGTGGGCAGGGGAAGGCCCTGAACAGCCTGGGCACAGGATGGAGCAGTAAGTGGCTTGTCTGGGGGCGGGGGGACACAGCCTAGGAGGGAATGGGAGGCATATGCAGGGGACAGGCAGGGGCTGGGGGGACAAGCAGAGGCCCGGAGGGCACATGCCCTGGCTCAGCCAGGGCCCTACTTCCCCCAGCCCCTGCTCCTGTCTGTGCCCTGGTCCCTCCCTCACTGTGGGGGCCTTGATCTGCCCCTCCCCCCACAGACTTACCCGATGAAGAGCCACAGCCCCAAATCATTTTTTCTCTCTCCGCCTCAATCTGTTCCTCCCCTTCCCTCCCCATAGACTGACCTGTGGGGGGAGAGGGTGGCGCATGGTAGATCTTGAGTTGTTTTTTAATTCAAAAAGTGGTCTCCTACTTAAAAAGGTTGGAAACCACTGTTAGAGGATGGTTTCAGGTTGGATGGAAGGAAGAACTTGTTTACGGTAAGGGTCACCAGAATCTGGAGTAGACTTCCCAAGGAGGTGGTGCAGTCCCCAACCTTGGAAGGCTTCAAGAGGAGATGGGACAGACACCTTGCTGGGATCATTTGATCTCAGCAGTATTCCTGCCCAGAATAGGGGGTTGGACTCAGTAATCTTTTGAGGTCCCTTGCAGCCCTTTATGAGAAAAACCTGGAGGTTGCTAATAGGACTCCATGGTGCTAGAAACCTTCTGAGCTGCTGTGGTCTTTTTGAGTACTTTGTAATAGGAAAATTTGCTCTAGTGTTTTTCTGTAGTCTAGTGCAAACTAAGACCTGCCAGTTTCCGAGGGGTGCCTTGAGTCTAAAAAGATTTGAGAACAGCTGATTTAGAGACTCTCCATCTTCAGAGCCCTCTGGTTCCCTCGCCTCAAAACATGGATTTGCAAACACTTCTTCTGTTACTAACCTATGTATTGTAACCTTTTACAAGGTGATGTTGGGGAAGGGGAAGAGGAAGAGGATGAAGATGAGGACCAGGAAGAAAACAATGTTGACAAAACATGTTCAGATGAGCCACCCTTAAAACGGACAAAAATTCAGCACTCCTGACTGTTGCCTTAAAGACTCCTGAGCATTTTAGAAAAAGACCTAACAGTTCTATCAAATGTACATTTAACTGGACAGTCTTACTTCCGGGAAAAAATGGAATATTTTTGGAAGCCAGGTATCCGCATTTCTGTTCTAAAATACAACCAAGCTGAAGAGAAATACCATTTTGTTTTTCTAGTATTTAATTTTAATAAATAATCTGACAAAAGAAATAAGGGTGGCTTGTTTTGGGTTTTTAAAATATTTTTAGGTAGATGAAAATTATTATTTTAATGCTGGAGAGAAGAGAACATGGAATGTAAATGTCAAGAGGAGCTTCTGGCAAAGACATTGTACACAAACAGCTGTATGTTTTGGATACTCCCTGAGCATAAAACAGTCTAGAGCTGTTAAAGGAACTACTCCCAAGCTCTGTATTTATTTGTATCACTTTTAAAATTGACAAACTTGGAAGAAAAAAAAGACAGTTTATGTACTTGAAATTGTAGAAACAATAAGCTAACAATTTCCTGTGAAGAAGTTGTTAGAGATGTATATAAAATAATCTGAGGATTCTAGACTGGCTTAAATACATTAGCAAGGAAATAATTAAAAAAAAATTGCTTTAAAAAAGCCTACAAGACAGGAAGTCTCTGGTGTTCAGGTATGAGGTATGTTTGTGTTTGGCAGTTGATTTGACAAGATACACGGACGTCTTGGATCAGGACTTTACCCTCTACCACAGTTCAAATGCTAATTGTGAAATGTTGACATAATTTGCAGTGGATCTTTTTAAATAAGTTTGGTTTAAACCAGAATACATAAGAAACGCAGGAGTATGGTTTTACTTATGTAACGCCAACTTTTATCTGTCTAAAATATTTTAACTTGGATCACAAGGTAGATTACTCTGAATATTATCAGTTTATTAAAAATATGAAGACTGCATACAGCGAGTTGGTGCTAGAACACATTATTACCATCACACTGTCCTTTTGCCAGCTTGCTTTATCCACCTGCTAAATTTTATTTTTAGGCCCCATCTTAGCACTGAGATCTGCACAGGGAGTCTATGCACAGCAAAGTGTTTAATAAAGGAAACTGCAAACACAGTGAGCCCCTATGTAAAGATTTGTTTGCAAGAGAGACCACTTTTATAACCATTTGGGGAGGACTGTTCTTTATTTTATGTTTGCATTGGACTTAAGAGTGAGATTCTTACCTGCTTGGTAACTGTATCACCTGTTACATATAAACACAAGTGCAGTATTAAAGTTATTACTAAGCTGTAAAGGCAGGCATTAATTTCCCATGGTGTGCATAATTATAAGCATATGCAGACATAAATTGTAAACAACCTAATAGTTCTAGAGGTAAAAAACAAAACAAATAAACCACCACTTACATGTGAGGTGTGGAAAAAAAAAAAAAATTATTCTCTTACCTTAGCATGTTGTAAGATGAGTGTCCTCTCCTGCTGTTCAGTTTGCATAATATTGAACAACATGAAGATGGGTATAATGAATATTCATGAGAACAAAATATATAC